CCATTGCGTTAAGTGGCTTTGGCTTGCATTGGTGGCCAGGAAAAAACTTATCGTGACACTTGAAACAAGGGTTTTGTTCCCTCATTTATTCAATGGTTAAATTCCGCTTGGTGGGCTATTTAGTGGTGGTTGTTTTAGGTGGTCTTTTGGGCAGGGGAGCGGGCAGGGCAAGGCGGGCTGTTTGGTAACTTGTTCTGGGCCCAAGATGTGTGGTAATTTGCTTGTAAAGGGAATTAAATGACTGCTCATGTAATTTGGCACATGTGTATGCATCCATTAGGGTCCTAGGATTTGCAAATTGCACCAATGGCATTATATCCGGTTTCAATCCCCCAATAAAACAAGTCACCAAGTACGATTCATGTAATGCGGGATTAATGGTAACCATTAGGCCACGCAATTCTTCAAATCGACATTGATACGCCTCCACATCCTTAAGTTGGTCCAATCGGTTAAATTCTCTAACAATATTAATTGGCATAGTATTACCAAAACGTTGGCAAACATCCCAGCAAAACTATAGGATTATTTGGGCGATAGGCAGTCGCAGCAGGGTTTAATGGAGGAAGGGAAACAGAGCAGGAACTGAGTTCAGGGTTAAGTGGGTAAGCTAGGCTCGTGTTCAGATTTTGAGAAATGGGTGGTGGCGTTTGGACTCGGTAGCTCATGGATGCTTGTGGAGTAAGAGGAGGTGTATTGAAACGTGGGATACCTCCAACGGAAGATTGACCGGCGTCAACCATGGCACCCGCTTGTGAGATGGACATTTGAGATTTAGCTGAGGGAACAGGGGACTGTTGACGACTGAAGCTCATCTGATACATCTTTTCTTCCATTCTTTTCGATGAGGAAGCAAACTCCGACATTCTAGCCTCAAAGCTCTATTGTCTTTCGTCCATCTGTACGAATCTTTTTGATGTTTCTTCAGCAAATTTTTCCAACTGAACTTCAAGTCTCTTGATATCGTCATCTTCGATTTGATTTTTTTGTTTGTCCACCATCTTCTCCTACCAGAACCAGAGCTCTGATACCAAATGTAGTGGTTGAGCTGATGAGCTCAATAGAACAGTGACGAAGGAAAGAAAATAACAAAAGATAAATTAAAATTGCATAATCATTGACAACTATTACAGGTACTGACTCCCTATTTAGTCTGCTCAGAAATGGAATAATCTAACTAACCCATACAATGGGTGACACGTGTCATTCTTCTAGAGACTACTATTATACTATTAGCTAACATATCTAATGCAATATCTAACTATTGGGCTGACTCCTTTACTACTGATGGCCCATACTGACTTCACTTGGTGGCCCAAACTAGCCTAAGCCCAAGTTACCTTCCTGTTCTCTACATTTCATTACCCGTTTTCGACCCGAATCATATCCGACCCAACCCTCCCGTTTGCCACTCCTACCCATAATAAATAAGGACAAACAAAGACAGTTTCAAAATCATTTTAGTTGCATGATAAATAGGAAAGAAAGAGACACCGTTTCAAAATTCTTAAATCGAAACATCTAACTTTTCAACTTCCACAATTTTAGAGGTAAAACCATCCTTCACCTATTTAATTTTAGTTGTTCGTCCTTCACTAATGAAGAACGGGAAAATCGTCCGAACCTTTTCACCCTCTTTTTATCTTTTGATCTCCAATTCTCTGTAATGCCTTTTTGATTCAGACACTGCTCTGCTCTTTCACCCAAAGATGTTAATAAAATTATAGTAGTAATTATTTTAGTGAATTCATTGAGTTTTGTGTTTGATGGTTTGTTTTAATTTGATGTGTTCTTTTGAGTTTGATTCCCTAAATTTCCATCTTTTATTTGTTCATGAATCTAGTCCTTTTTTTTGCGCAAGGTGTTGAATATGGTAAGTTTTACAATTACGATTTTACATTTTCCTGTAATGGCAGTTACTTCTTAGCTTCTCTATACTTGGATCTCTCTGTTTTTTACTAAAGGATTTCTTTTTCTCAATTCATAGTATGTGATGTGTGATAGAAATATTAAAATTGCAAGAAGCAGACAATTGGGAATTCCCAGAAAATTGGAAAAGAAGACTAATGGAGATTTGAAGGCATGAAGATGAAAGTAAAGTTCATAAATAATGAATGACACAATTCATCTAGGGTCTAATACTAATAATAATATTTAACAATTGCGATTTCATCAATATTTAGAATTAACTAAAAAAATTGCATGAAATATTTTATCTCTTTTTCTTTTTTTTTTTGTTGACAAAATTTACAAATTTGTTTTTTGCATTTTTTTTTTTTTATAAAAAACAACTCCCTCAATAGAGTGTTCTGGTCATTAAGAACTTTGCTTGTCTGGCTCTTGAGATAATAGTCTAACGTATACCGGTAATTCCTTCTGAAAGTACAAAACTTCATGTTTGATTGGTACTTGATTTCATGTATTTGCATTAAATTTCCCTTTTTTCCATTTCATTAGGTGTATGCATAGTATGTATTTAGCTTTCTTTGCCTATATTTTTTTCCTTCACTCTCATTAGAAGTAATATTCCTATCGTTAATGTTTATTAAGAGTAATATATATTGCTGCATGCTATTTATTATAAGGCGGTCACGAAGAAATACAATATACAAGGCCTGTAGCGAGCTAGGGTCATAATTTCCTATCAACTTATAACTTTGATCATATTGACAAACATCCTTTGAGAACAAAGTTTATGTAGAGAAGATATACTCCAACAATTATTGAGAATATGTTGATATTAAATTCGTTAATGTCTTGTACATATATATATAGCATTGATCTATAGAGAGGTGACGTGACACATCTCCTAGGCCAAGTAATACATTTATTTTCTCTCTTCTTTGTAAACCTTTTATCCTTACTTTCTTAATTGGAGGTTAATCGTATTTCTACCTTATATATTGTATTTTGTTAAATATTAACAACAAAATATTTAATAAACAAAATATTCTATTGGAAACAGTCTCTCTATCTTCACAAGGTAGGGGTAAGGTCTGCGTACACACTATCCTCCCCAGACCCCACCGCGTGGGATAATACAGTGTATGTTGTTGTTATTATTATTATTGTATTAATAACAAAATATTTAGTTTCATCAGCTATAAGAAGTCCTTTGGTTTATTTGTTATTCAAAAACATGTTTCAATAATCTCAAGTGATTATTCAAAATCTTTAAAAAAATAATAATAACTTGAAATATACGTGCAACGCACGTGCAATGTATGTGTCCAGAAACTAGTAAAAGAAATAACATTAAGGAATAAAATAAATAAAAATAGAAAATAAATAGTTGCACAATTATACTAAAAAGTTATTTTAAAATCAAAGAAAAATCATTTTCATTAAAAGTAAGGAAGAACTCACACGCGTAACAATACAATTGTCCGGATGCTCAAGGAACGACCTTACTAAGTGGCTCCAAACTATTTCAATTTCATTTTGCCCTAATCTTTCTTACTTTTTCAACTTAACTGCAAAAATCTCCGAGCATCGAACCAGGCCTGAGCAGACTTGACTTCTAGATTTAGTTTGTTAGTTCTTTCTAACAAACTAATAATTTGGGGATCAAAATTGACATATACATGAAAAATCGTCTTTATTAAAAAGTCGATGAAAAGCTCATTCCTAGGAGTAAGAAAGAACTCACACGCGTAGCTATTATTAAGTAAAGGCATGTGGCTTCGCTAATTACCCCAACTAATTCATTTTTATTTTGCCCTTAGCCTTTCTTACATCTTTAGCTTGACTGCAAATCTCCGAACACTGAATGTGAATAAGTGTACTTAGCTTCAAGATTTGATTTTTGTAGTTCTTTCTAACAAACTAACAAATTTGGACACCAAATCTAAATTATTTAAGATACTTAAATGACTTCACGTCAAAGCTCGTCTTTATTGAAAGTCAAAGATAAACTCTTTCGATAGAAATAAGAAAGAAATCGCACGTGTAACTTATAGTAAGTACACTTGTCTACGTGCTCAAGGTACGTGGCCTCACGAAAATCTAAATTAAGGTAACTAAATGACTTAATGCTGAGATACGTCAAAACTCGCGTCTTTATTGAAAATCTAAGAAAAGTCTTTTCCGTTAGAAATAAGAAAGAACTCACACGCGTAGCTATTAACAAGTACACTTGTCCGCATGATCAAGGTACGTGGCCTCACTAAGTGGCTCCAACTAATTCATTTGCGTTTTGCCCTTCGTCTTTCTTACATCTTCAGCTGGCTACAATATAGGTAGACAAATCAAATAATTTTTTTAAAACCTTTTTTATATAAAAATATTCATCAATATATGTTCCTTTTAGAAAGATAAAGTGATAGCGTGGTTATGAGGATATTTTCGTAAACAAACAATTCGTTTAGAAATTATGCAATGCTTTAATACATCAAACCAAACAATGGATAAGAAATATGTCAACATAACTAATGTCAACATAATTAATGCAAGCATAACTACTACCAGCATTACTAATACACCATATTCAACATTATTTCTTATGCACCTTACCAAACAATCCCTTAATAGTTTGTAGCTCTTTCTAACAATTTTGGACACCAAATCTAAATTACTTAGGCTAACTAAATGACTTAAACGCTACACGTCAAAACTCGTCTTTATTTAAAATCTAAAAGAAGTGCTTTCGATAAAAATAAGAGAGACTCACACGCGTAGCTCTTAACAAGTACACTTGTCTGCATGGTCGAGGTACGTGTCCTCACTAAAATCTAAATTAAGTAAGGTAACTAATGACTTAACTCTGAGACACATGTCAAAACTCGTCTTTATTATCGAAGATCGATAAAAATAAGAAAGACTCACACGCGTAGCTCTTAACAAGTACACTTGTCTACATGGTCAAGGTACGTGTCCTCACTAAAATCTAAATTAAGTAAGGTAACTAATGACTTAACTCTGAGATACACGGCAAAACTCGTCTTTATTATCGAAGAGAAGTTTTTTCGTTAGAAATAAGAAACTCACACGCGTAACTATTAACAAGTACACTTGTCCGCGTACTCTAGTACGTGGCCACATTAAGTGGCCCCAATTAATTCATTTTCGTTTCAATCTTCACCTTTCCTACTTCTTCAGCTTGACTGCAAATCTCCAAGCATCAAACCTGGGCCTGAACAGACTTAGCTTCAAGATTGAGCATCAGGTTGCCACCATCACTATGTGGTAGCTTCTCAAAACGTTGAAGGCCTAAAGGTTCTTACTTCTTATACCGCTATAATGATTAGTACTCTTTTTATTTCAAACATATCTAAGTTTATGTTATTTATTCAATTTCTTTGCACGTTTTTGTTAACATAAAATTGTATATCAATTTTCATAACGTACAATACCAAGATGAGAAAACTTTTTACCCTACAACCCGCGGAAACAAGGTTATAATATCATTTTTGGAAACCTTTATTCTCACAAGTAGTTACAAAAATCAGCAGTTAATGTTTTGATTTGAACAAACTCAATACAAAGATCCATTTGATCAAAGAAATAAAACATAGCATGTATAATCGTGAAGTTGTCCAGCCACAACTTTATATTGTTAATTTAATTTGTTCCTTATTTCTTTTTGGTATTTCTTAAACAGGATATTACGGAGTAGCACAAACAAGCAAGAGAGTCACTGCCCAAATTGAACAGATCAGGAGCAAAAAGGAAAGAGTTCCTGTTTTTGTTTCGCACATGATTTGATTCTGCCTAATAATTCCAGGATTCCACCCTTCTTGGAAAAAGTCCCATTGTCTTTTCCTTTCCAAATTAAACTTGCACTTCAATATTACAAGATTCTATAACATCTGCTATTTTTTTCAGCATTTTTTGGCATTTAAATCAGCTACTTAAAAAGTTAATAGTCCTTGCTTACACTTAACAGAATTCAACAAACAATTTTAACGTATCTATGGCCTATACTGAAGAAATTACCTCTGCACCATATACCAAAACGGCCCACATAGCCAATGGTTGCCTTATGGTTTTCTTCGGGTTCGTGGTTTTTTTATGCGTGCTCAAATGCTGCTGCTCTAAACGGGAAGAATTTTCATCAGATTTACAAAGGCAAAGCACAGAAAAGCGACCTGAACAGCCATCAACTACACCAGCTGATCAACAAGATCATAGTATGGTTGTGATCATGCCTGGGGACCGAACTCCGACCTGCTTAGCAATGCCTGTCATGTCTTCACCTCAGCACACTGATGAAGTGTGACTAATTTTTAGATCTTACTTTATCGGTCCCCAGCCAGAATAAAGGAGGAGGACTGTAGTAGGTTGATATGTAGTGCAAAACTAGTCAAATTATCATGAGTCCTGACTATACAGAATAGAGAGGGACATGTATAGTGAGGATTCATATATATATATATATATATATATATATGTCCGACTCTAACTAGCTTGGGATTGAGATATTGTTGTTGTCATTATTATATTGTTCTTGTTCCACTCAAGAAGACTAAGCTAGGCTTTTCTAATCTCCTCTTATTTATTTATTTATTTATTTTTTCTCTTGTAGATAATTAACAATTGGCACTAAAATCATTACTTATATCTTGGGGTGGGGTGGCAAGCATACTGGCCGAGTCGATATGACGGATCGAAAACGGGTAATGAAAAATTGAATAAATTATTCGACTAAAGACATATTTAATACGGATAAAAAACGGGTTAACGGACGGATAATATGGATATCCCCAATTTGAGGCTTTACAAATGTATCCATGTTTATCCATGACTTATTATATAATGATCACTTTTGGGAGAATTCCTTAGTCTCCTTAACTTGAGGAGTCCCCAATTTGAGACTTTACAAATGTAAAAGTTAAACTCATTAGTTATCCATTTATCCATTTTCTAAGAGGATAATATAGTTCTTATCCATATTTGACCCGTGAATAAATATTTTATTAGAACCATTTTGCCTCGTGTCATTTGTCTTTGATTCTCATTGCTATGTTTTTATAAGCTGATCATTACTGCCTTAACATTACTGGTACATAATTAATGTGAAAGTAAGACGCTATTTGCGGATTCTGTTCTCCATTTAGTTCCTTTACTTTTTCAGAACGAAGTCTATTCATTTTGTTTTATAAATGAGATTTTAAATTGTAGGAATTTTCCATTCCTCAACTTGTAAGCACAGTGTTTGGATTTAAAAATATACTCTCTAATGGATAAGTTCAACAAAAGTATGAATGACAATAGCGTAACTAATTAGTGCAGTATTTGATGAAACAATAGCAGTCACTAAAGGAACTAGAAACACAGGGTTAAATAATGGTAAAGAGAATGTTAAAATTCTCATAGAACTATATATTAAACGGCACAATAGTCATTCATACATAGATTCATCATTTGTTTCCTAATAATGGAATCATTCTTTCCTTTTTAGTGATGCATCTTTTTTCCTATTGCTAGGTTAGAGAATCTTAACCTAATCCGTTAACATCACCATTAAAATTCGAGAACTTTATCACATGACTAACTAGATTGAAGGCTGATAACAGAATCGTTTGAGCAGATGTAACTTCGCAATAACATATCTTCCCTTTCAATATTTCCAAAAGAAGTATTTTTTAAATAATTTAAAATTGAAATTTAAATATGATTCTTCTTTTTTCTGATGACAGTTAAATCTTGTGAGATTGGGGGAATATATCAGGGGGGGAGAATCATATCATCCAAATATGTGCAATATCCACAATTAGTTAATCGTCAAGTGTGTCTATAAAAGCCTTTCATTTACCTGATTTCATGCAAAACATAAGCAAACATAACACACAAAAACAAAGGCAAGAATGAATACAACAGGAACTTCTGCTGAATTTTGGCAATGGAATTCACCAGTTCCATACCTGTATTGTGGTCTTGGCGTCGTTTTCGCGACCATTGCATTTGCATTAATCTATCTCTTTTGCTGTCGCCAAAATTCCAATTCATCAGAGCATTTGATAGACACAGATAATAATGAGGAAAAGAAAAGGTATTCACTACATCCCCTAGATCCGGAGCCTAAAATTGTGGTATTCTTTCCTGGAAATGATAAAACTTTGTATTTTGCAAAGCCTATTACTTATTCTCCACATGCTGCACAACAAGTTTAGTATAGCAGCTGTTCCTCTTTTTAGTTTTTTTCTTTTTTTGGTAAAAGAATCTTACTGGCTCGACTAATCCAGATTAGTAGGTCCACTAATTAAGGGGTAAAATGTTTCCTACCAAGAACTTCTCCAACCAATGCACAAGGTCACTGGGTTGTTTTTTCTTTCCTTTTCTCCTTGTAACATGTTCCTGTCTGGTAATTAACCAATTAGGTGTACAGTTATGAATGATTTCTTTGTTTATGATATGCCAAAATTTCAGTGGACTTTACAACTATGCATATGTTCAATGAATGCATTGATTAAAAGTTCAATAAATTAGCAGAATTTAAGGTGACGTTCATGAAACAGTTTTTATTGTAAACAGCCTCTCTGCCTTTCCAAGGTAGGGGTAAGGCCGCATACATCCTATCTTCCCCGGACCCCACTCGTGGGAATTCACTCAGTTTGTTGTTATTGTTGTTGTTGTTTGTTCATGAAATAATTTTGATCTCTGTCAGAGAAACTGCAAGAGGTGGAAAGTTTGTTAGAAATTCTGCCTAATTCCATGAGATCTAGAAGCAATTTTGTGATGATAATCAGGGCAGAAGCTAGAGTGTCGGGAGTGAGTTCGGACGGACCCAGTAGCTTTGATTTGAACCCTGTATTTGTCTTAAAAAAATCCATTAAACATATACTATAAATTATTAATTTAGGACCCAGTAACTTAAAACGATTAGAATTCCGAAACCAAATTCTGGCTCCGCCACTGATGATAATTCCCTACTTGATGGTGGTCGAACCTAAAACCAGGATAATAAAGTACAATTATGAGAAAGTATATATCAAAAGAGTAGATTAGGGAATTAAGTAAATTTAAAGGAAATTACAACCTTTCTAATGTGAACGACAAAGATTTGTCATATCTAAGTTTGACTTGAATACATACAAAGCATTATCTTACTATTCGAAATTATACTCTGGCATTTAAATGCAAAGGCAAAAAGAAGGGGGAAGTGTCTAATTAGATTGGATCTTTCCAGCCTTGGGAAATTTGTCCTATTATCAAAAAGAATTAGGAAAAGAACATCTTCAGTTCTATCACATGGAGCCCAAGACAAGTGCAATACAAAGATATGATCTCCCAAAAGGACAAACAGCAAGAATAATACATGGGCCTTGCCTGTCTAGCATTTCCTTATAATAAGCCATGCCTTTTAGGATTACAAAGTGAGGAACAACTAAAAAGGCATTTAAAAGCAAAGCATGTCCCATATATTTTCAACTGGTTAAAACTCTTCTGCTCCTTCCCTTAAAATCTAGGAAAAATGACCCCCCTTTAATAAGCCTAAAATTCTAACATGAATGCTTACAAAACTGTCATAATTAGTAACTATCCTAAATTATAGATTTAACTATATTCCAGATCACAATTTGACAATGACAGTACTATTATTAGTATATAATACTTGTATGACAAAATGGAAAGTAAAAGGTTTTTAGCTTCACAATTACTAATCATGAGTGAAAGATTGTACTAACTATAGGCCGTAATGGGATGAATGGAATCCTTCCACTCTTAAACAATCGGATTACATTGGCACCCTACAAATGGAGAAAATGTTGTACATGGGATAAGGATTTGAGATTAACTTTATCCTATTTTTGGTCGGGGTATTAGTTAATTCTGAGACAACTTTTACACTAAGGGCTCGTTTGGTGTGAGGAATAAGGGATAATTAATCCCGGGATTAAATTTGAGATGAGTTTATCCTACATTTGGTTGAGATAAAATTGCGGTATAACTAATCCCGGTATTAATTATCTCGGAGTTATAGTATTATTTTTATCCCTATATATGGGAGGGCGGGATAACTAATCCTGGGATAATTTATTTCCGACCAAACGACCCCTAAAGTGGTGGGGATTAATTATCCCATATAAAAGGTGGGATAACTAATCCCGTGGGATATCTCACCGCATGGGATATTCCACCATTATACCAAACGACCCCTAATTAGTGCGCCATACTCGATGTGAATCTGGATTAGTCCGGCTAGTGAATTTCTAATACCAAATATTTTAAAAGGTTGTTGGAGAACAATGGGTATATCTCGTATACTTATATATACCAGCCAGAAAAACAGGGGGGCAAAAGCAATAGTAAAAGATGAACTTAACTGCTTGAGAAGACTACTACTACAAGACAACTCCAGTTGGCTTCTCTTCATTTTTTCACAGAAGAAAAAGCTGCATAATTTATTTACTCCCAACCTCTTGTTTTTATTTGACATGACATAGAAATCAAGAAGTGGAAAATAAATGAGAGAGGTCCTTTTCTAGCCTCATTAAGAACAAAAAGTAGTAAGCAGTAGTAGTATATATATATTTTTAAGAGTATATAGCATATAGGCTGCAACTTCTCCTCTGCATATTGCATTGAAAGCGCGCAGCTGAGTCACGTTCAGAATACAGAGAGAAGTAAAGATATGCATCTTCGAACCTAAGTGAGAGAGCAAACCAAATTCTGTCCTTTGGTATTTACTCAAGGGTCGTATTTTGTGCCTTTTGTAAAAAAAAAAAAAAAATCAAGTTTCTCTATCATCTTTGACAGCTTCTACCTGTCCCTCTGTCGATGTAAAGTTATGGCGATGTACATATCCAGGTGGTGAAATTTAATCCAAGATTTTCAAAAAAAAAAAAAGAAAAAGTAGAATAGAAATAAATATCGGGTTTTGAGGTTGCTTTCAGAAGTACTATAAGATTGGGCATGTTTGTTCTTTGTGCGTGAGAGAGCTGTATTGGTCCAGAGCAGAAAAGAAACGCATATTTGGTTTACACATACAGGTGTTTTGATTCAGCTTTCTTTTGCCTTTTAACATATAACCAAACTCCATTTTTCTGTCTTTTAGTAGTTCTTTCTAAAACACTCTTTTGATCTTTATTATCATTTCAATATTAGTTCTGCTTTTAGCAGTGGCAAATGAAGCCAGCTTCTCAAAATTTTAATGAGGAGGAAGAATGTCACAGCAGTGAATCTGGCTGGACAATGTACATTGGCTCTCCTTCGAATGGTACTGAAGATGATAAGCTGAACGTAGCAGATTTTGAGGAAGAAGATGATGTAGGAGATCACAAGAATGAAAGAAATCAAGAAGAAGATGATGACACTGATGATTCTATGGCTTCTGATGCGTCTTCTGGTCCAAGTCACATGAGGGAGCACTGCGTCAGAAATGCCAAGATTAATGATACTCGTTATGTGAATCCAAAGGAAAAAGGTAATGGAAAAGGTTGCTCCAACACAAAGAATGGTATTAAGAATCAAGACAAGGGAGAGTCTGTGTTTTCAGCAAAAGGAGCTAAAGTTCCCTCCAATGGTGGAAAGGTAAGGAAAAGTATTTGGAAGGGCAAAGGAAAATAATACACTGTAAAAATTTACTAGAGTAATATATTTCCTCTCTTGTTATATTACTACTATTAGTAATTTGTATCTCTTGTGTTAGTAATTAGTGCATGTTAAACTTTTACTAAGGATCGGATGTTTTGCGATTAGAAATGAATCAATTTTTTGTTCCCTGTTGTTGTTACTGGATACATCAAATTAAATGTAAGAGGGTCAATTATCAAGACATGTATTCAGTTAGCAGCCTCATGACTCTCTTAATACATGTCATGCCTAATTAGTACTAACAAGAAAACATGTCATGCCTAAGTACTAACAAAAAAAACATGTACCTAGCATATTGTTTAACCAAAAATTGGGATTTCGATCAAAGCTTATTTTAAGAAGAACTCGAGTTACTGATAATCAAATAAAAACAGGAATAAACGATGTAAAAGATGGCTGAGTAGAAAGCAGAATAAATCAATATATTCCAATAGTCTTTCGTGTCCTTACAAATGATCAGTCTTCCCCTTTTATATCTATTTCTAGGTGATACATTTTGTTTCTGTCATAATAAGGCCATTTATAGACAATTAATGGCATTTAATGCTACGGTATAATTGGTAATCATTGTAATTCAATATAGATTTTCTAACGTTTTCTATAATTAACGCCTATTAATTACTGACAGTACGTATCCGTACCCTCTTTTGCTATCAGGTTCATTCTCTTATCTTGACTTTCGAACTTAAAGAGGTCCAAGCATCGAGTCTCTTGAATCTCTGCCCGTGTCTGTTGTAACTCGTGCCTCTTTAACTATTCTTTGCTGATTGTCATTCTTTGACCAGTCTACGTGTCGTGCCATGTCATTTTTCAATCAATTCTATATATGAACTCAATTTTTCCCAATACCAATAGTCCCCCTACTTGCCATTTATCATCAATAGAATATTTGGGAAGTGTATTTTATTAAAGCGGGAATATTTGCCGCCATTAATTCTCCTATGGAACTGACGCTTCATTTGTCACTTCTATTTAATGTCCGCTACACGTGGCATCTTCTGGTTGGTTCTGCGACTTTTCAGCGTCTTTTAAGGCTTTTTTACGGCTTCACCAATTACGAAACGACAGTTCTCATCATGACGTTTCCATCATTGCACCTTTTTCTTTGACGGTTGCTTTTAAGTATAAATATAATTTTCACCTTTGTCTTTCTCACAAAAAGTTCTTAGAATATTCAATTCTTGTTTTCTTCTTCCTCGTACTACTATTTCTTCGTCAAACCCTAACCCTAAGAGAGTCCCCATCGTAGATAACCTTCCTCTTGCTCCTGTTAGAAGTAGGAGAGGGGGTAGACTTCGTAGTTTAGGGTCTTCATCTTCAAGGGTCCCTTCTCTTTCTTTGACAAGTTCCACTCCTCCTTCTATAACCAAAGGTTCTCTTTCTCAAAGGTCTTCATCTAGAGGTAAAGAGCCCACTGAGGCTCTTCGTGAACCTACGGTAGATGAGATTGTTCCTGCTGAACTATCTTTTTACAATGACAGAGAATCCATTAGAAACCAAGTTTCTTCTATGTCTTCATTACAACGTGTTGACATTTATCCGACTCAGATCACTGAAGGTTTAATTTCCGCAGTCCGTTGAGACTGTCACTGGAGTCATGATTTCCCCATTATTATCCCCAACACAAACTAAAGAATCATTTCTTATTTGACTGGGTTTTCTTTTGTACATACATATCCTTTCACATTGAATTTTAAGCCTCTTATCGATCCTGTAATCATCGAATTTTGTCGCTTTTTGATGTCTGTTTAGGACAAATTGGCCTATTGTATGGAGTGTTGTTGCTTGTTTGAGGCATTTTTACTTTAGCTGCGAGAAGCAAAAGAGTTCTGGTTAGCCCAGAGGACGATAAGGACCGTGGCTGGTACGCCCAGTTTGTTGCTGCCCCCACTGTTGGTTTAGAGGGTGAAGAAAATGTACCATTCCCCGAGAAATGGAATTTTGCACGTGAGTTTTCTTTTATAACTTTTCCGTGCTTTTTTTTTTTTTACTTTTGATGGTTGTCATTTTAACTTTTCTCCTTTTTCTTTTTTTTTTAGCAACTATGGGAATTGCTGATGAGATTCCCAATTTCCGTAGTTGGGTAGGAAAGTTATTATATACTGCTCCGATGGAAGGTAGATCTTGGAAAACCCTTTCTCATCGGTTTGGTTGAAAAGTGAAAACTCACGGTAAGAGTTTTTATTTTTTATCCTTTGTAAATTTATTCACTTCCTTTCTCAAAAATTATTTTCCTTCTTTTTGTCAGGATTTCCCATTCGAGGCGTAAGTGCTGAGGCTGTCGTAGCTTCCAGAATTTCTTTGGAAAGGGCCTAAGAGATAATCTCGAGTTCTTCATCAAAAAGTAAGGCTACCGCTGACCAAGACTCTGAAGAAGAGGAAGAGCAAGATGGGGGCTCTTTGATAAGGAGGCCACGAGCTAGAAGACGTATCATTTCAGATGATGAAGCATCTCCCCCTCATTCCGTTCCTCTTGCCGAGCCTGTTGAAACTGCCTTGGTGATTTCCGAAGATGATACTCCCGTGGCTGCTCGTGATGATACTCCCGCGGCTGCTCGTGATGACATCGCTCAGCTTTTTGCTCGCGGCTTTGATAATGAATGTTTTGGCCCAATTTCTAATGAAGCGCCTCTTGCCTCATTTTCCATGTCTGCTCCTGTGATACCTTCTTTGCCAGTCGTGACTGCTACCGTCGCTATTCCTCCCCAATCTATTTTGACTGCTTCTACAGTTCCTCCTACAACTGAGGTTGGTTCCTCAAGTAGAGGTGAAGCTATGAGGCAAGTTACCATCGAGGTTCCTGCCGATGGTAACCTTTTGAGGAAATCAAGTCGGGCTGATGTGTGGTTGAAATCTTTGATTGGTCCAGTTGAGAGAGCCAAGCTTGAGAGTCATAACTCTCTGACTTGGATGAACGACATAGTGCAATCTTCTTTAAAGGTATTCTTTTTTCAAACTTTACATCATTCTTCTTTTTATTTTTTAATTTTTTTTTATTTATGGTTTTCACCCCCTTTCTTCTTCTTTTTTTGTTTAGATCAATCTAGTTGGCATAGAGATGATGAAGAGGGTTTCCCACATAGAGCAGTTAATGCACGACTATCAAGTTGTTGCGGACAACTGGAGGGAGTAATATGAAAGTCTCCAACTTGACATGGAAGTGTTGGAAGAAAGTAAACGTACCTTGGAGCAGCAACTGAAGGTTTTAAGCTCAGAATTAGCAGTCGAGAAGGCATGCTCAAGTCAAGCTGATAAAGACAAGAATCTCCTTGAAATATCTTTCTCCGAGCAGCTTTCCAAAGCCAGTGAAAAAATTAGAGAACTGAAGGCTCTGTTGGATAAGAAAGAAGCCTATGCCGGTGAACTTGTGCAAACACTTTCTCAGACCCAGGAAGATCTTCGTGAGTCTTCCACCAAGGTTAGCTTTTTAGAGAGTTCACTCGCGTCTTTGCAAGCTTCTTATGATTCTGCCCTGGCTGAAAATGAAAAGCTTAAAGACGAGATTGACCAATGGGAGAAAGATTACGAGATTCTTGAGGACAAGACTGCAATTGAAGTGAGTTGGGCAATTTTAAACACGCGCCATGATACCCTAGTGGAAGTTAGCCTAGAGGGCTTTAATTTGGATGCTGAATTAGCAAAAATAAAAGAGACTATCGAGAAAACTCAGCAAAACCAAGATTTTCCCTCTCCCATGGCTGATATTCCCGAGCACACTGAAGATGATATGGGCACGGTGGATGCTCCAACTCCTTCAAGCCATCCCGAACCTTCTGCTGCTCTTGACCCTGTTTCAGATTCTACTTCAACCTCTCAGTGAAAAGTTTATGATGTGTTACTTTTTTTTTTGGAATGTGGTTGTAACCTTTGGTCCCATTTGGGGGTTTTTGGACTTTCAGAAACGATAAGTCCCCAGGCCTTTTTCGGGCATTTTTGTATAAATGACAAAATGACTAAGTTCATACTTAGTCTACCTCTTTTAATATTTAAGAAGTTTTTTATGTTTAAACTTAGTTAATTTGAGCTTTTATTTTGCTCGACTTTGCCTTTTATATTTAAGGACTTGTTAACTAATTGGTGGGTTTCTGTTTTACCCTTTTTTGCATTTCTGTTTCATAAAATGCTTTATTAAGTTCGTGGATGTTTAAATCGCATATGATTTATAAAAGAGGGCCTTTTTATTTTCGACACTCAACGAAGAAGACGTCTCAACTTTATAATGGTGTAAATAACGATAAAAGAAATAGGAATACACATGTTTCTTGAAATAACTTTGATAAAGTTTTTATTTAAACTTTGTCAAGTTTAAATTACATCTTTACATGTGTTTAAATAAATTCTATAACTTTGTCGCAACTGTTTTCTTTACAATAGATTTTCAAAAAAGAAATAGAACACAAGGTTTTCATTTACAACCCGTTTCTATACATTGCCTTTAACCTAAATATGATAAAGTTTTCATTTTGGCTTTATGTTGCAACTTTTGTTCTGCACTTGATTCACTAAATGAGTAAGATTTTTCACGGGCTTTGACTTTTAAATTTTAATTGTTTCTCTTCAGTCTTCTTTTCCCTTCTTCCCATGTATATTATATAGTTCCCCAAGTGTTTGAGTTTTGAAGTATGAAATCTCGAGCACTTGAATACTCTTCTCCTTCGGTCCTTTTCCTGAAAAAGAAAAAAACGTACAGGACTCGGACGTGCGATTTTAGATGAAGACTGCTTAACCCGTTTGAATATCTATCAGAATAAATTGTAACCCTAGATCGACAATTATGTTCTTCCACGTGTCTTGCAGGTCGTGACTCATCATTTAGTACGGGTTAGCTTTTTGCCTATCATCTAAAATCGTTAGGAAAATTTTAACAATTCAAAAAATAAAATTCGAAAATAAGGGTACCTGCCCACGGATATTTCCTTTCCTTAGAAGTAGTATCTCTTCAGATGAACGGCATTCCAATGTGAAGGTAAAATCTTGCCATCCATTGTTTTCAGCTCGTATGCTCCTTTTTCCTGCGATACCGTGGATCTTATATGGTCCTTCCCAGGTTAGACTTAACTTTCCCGCATTAGCCGCTTTCGTAGATTGGAAAACCTTTTTTAGTACGAAGTCCCCAATCTTGAAGTATCTTAGGCGAGCTTTCCGATTATAATATCGTTCCATAACCTGTTTTTGTG